TAAAATAATTCAAAATAATATCTATTTTTGAATTTAACCTAATACCTAAATTTGAAAAACCCATTTTCATTGATTCCCTCATATAAACATGTCAAACTTTCCCTTACACCTAATTAATAATTTAATTAATATATTTTTGGATTTAAATTAAATTAAAATTATAAAAATAACATTTTGTATAAAAATCCTAATTTATGTTTTTAGAAACCTTCCTATGATCATTTGAAATATTGCTCCTTAAGAAATTTCTTAAAATTTCAATAATATGAAAAAGCCCTAATTTTTTAACTCCACATTTTAAAGAAAAAACTTCATTCCATGCATAAAATTATCTCTTAATCATTCCCTAACAATCCCCCATTTAAATTCTTAAAGAGATTCAAAGTTTTCTTAAACTCTAGAAATCTTTTCTTGAGAAAACCCTAAGGCAAAACATGAGAAATGGTTCATAAGAACTCACCATAGCCTTCCCTTAGTCTTCCCTACAAGTTCCTCCACGAATGGCCACTGGAATCCTCCGCTGGAGCCTCCTCCCGTCGCCTCCCTTGCGTTTGCCCCTTCTCCCTTTCGGCATGCTCCTTCGGTTCGGCCGAACAAAACATGTGAATGAATTGAAGAGGGATCGGTCTCTTCATAACTTAGGAAGTTAGGGAAAATCCAATTACCCAAATGCCCTCACTTAAATCCATCCATGCTTGAATAAACACTCGGGGCATAATAGGTATTATGAGATTTCTTTAATTTTTATCTCCCAAATTAAACGAAATTTGATATAAGCTTTATACATCAATTTGTTCAGAATTTTACGTTGAATTTTATAAAATTATTTCCGTCAAAATCCGTCGACTTTGAAAAATTCACTTAAATCTTGTCGCAACGCATTGAAAAGGGTGCGAGGTCTAAAACTGGCATTTTTCGGGTTTTACAGCTAGGGCTTGCTCGGCTTTGGAGGAGGAAGAGGTTAGGAACAAAGCTCCTCTGTGGATCGAAGAACCGAGAGGTTGGGTTAGGGTTTGTGGATCGCGAGGGCCTTCGCCGATTAGATAGGGTAGAGGAAGGATTCGGCAAGAGGAAAGTGTCATATGAGGCTAGGAGAAGGATTTGGCCATGAGGTATGCTTGCGAATGAAGCTTCGATGAGATTGGAGATGGAGTATGCAGCTGCTGGAGGTAGAGGCGACGGCGTATGGGTCGTGGACTTCGGATAAGCAGAAGGATTTGGGATTTCATAGAGAGGGCAAGCAGCCAGAGGATGGGAGCTTGTGGAAGAGATCGGGAGTCTGTAACCTTCGTCTTGTTCTGTTTTAATAAACGAGAGATGAGAAGCATGCATGGGCTATTTGACAGCGAGAAGCAACATTTCGGCATTATCGCAGACTGGGGACATGATTTCGGCAGAAATACAGGTTGGATTTGCCGAAGAGGTAATCATTCATGTATTTGTTTATTTGCTTTCCTTTTTTTATTTATAGCAGAGGTCAACACCATGAGAGTTGAAACCACATTCTCACAACTTGCTCCATCGATCAAAATGTTACACACTTTGTCTTAAGTCGTACAGCTTGTGCGAAAAATATTGTGTCGTAACCATTCTTATTCATAGTCAAATGTGTATTTAGTAGACGCCTACCTACAAGTAGTTCTCCTTCAGCTGCACGCATAACTTGTTCAATTTCAAGAGTTTCATTTGTAACTTCCTCATAATAGATATCTTCTAGTGGCATTTCCTCAATTAATGGGACCAATCGTCATCTAGGGCAATTGGATGCTATGTATATATGTTTGATACATTTTCGTGTAGGAAACTCAGTTGTTGATGCTGCTCCTTGTGCTGGACGATTCTGTGATTGGCTTCCCGAGACAGCGGTGGTGTTGGATGGTATGCCCCTAAAGGACTATGTTGGTTTGTTGTTCTAATAAAATCTTCGATAGTAGGAATTCCTTTTTCCCAATTTTTACTGTTTTTTGATCTTTGGGGAAAGATTTATCACATCTGCAAGTGTCCAATAAGGCTATGGTTGAACAAAATTATATATAGCCGGGTTTAAGCCTCCAAGAAAATGAGCAATAGTATTTTTCTTCAGGTTTTAACCCTAAATGCTCGAATTCAGCAGCATAATTTTCTACAGAAAGTTCTTGTTGTTAAAGATGATGTAATTGAAGAAACATATCCTGGTAATAGTGTTCCAATAAAATTTCCGTTGCAACTCTTTCTTCATCTTGGTTCATGTTGTAATCTTGGTTTTTCCATCCCTTTGCCGAGAATGCTTCAAAATTTGCCACCATAAAGATGCGTTGCCCTTAAGTTTGATGGCAACAAGTTTTACAATGCTTCCTAGAGGAACTTCTTTATATACAAGAATTCGTTTAATGGTATGTAATCGATTGATGAATTCATCCGGACCTAGCATCCTTCAAATTCCAGAAGATCAAAAATAAATCCAAAATTTGGCGGCGGTTTTCTTGCCTCATCCTCTTTACTTGAGGCTTCTTGGTGGAAAGGGTTTTCCTTCGCCTCTTCAAGCTGTGCTTCTCCTCCATTTTGGCACTCCATTGGTTGCCGAAACTCCATGGCAGCAAGCCTTTCTTGCAATTGTTTAATTTCCTCTGCAACTCTTTAATGGCGGTTCTTGGACAACCTTTGGATTTCCTCTTCTTGGCGGCATCCTGAATTTTGTGGCTCTAATGTCAAATGACACCGAATAAACAAAACAAAGAACAAAGCATAGAAATAGAGTAAAGGAAGAATAAAGAAACTGTTGTCTTATTAAAAATACCACCACCTGGATAAAAATCTCAGGATACAGAGAATTCAGCTCTGGCTGAATTTGAATGTATTCAAATTCCCTCTCTAACTACAAATGAGGAAAACAGTTCCTTATAAATAGAATACCCTAAAAACAACTACAGAGATTGGTTCAGCTGCAGGTTCGACTGAACAGAACCAAGGAATAACCAGGAGTTCCTGGATCTATTGGTTCAGCCTTCAGTTGGACCGAAAAGCTGAAACATTATAAGAGCTACTTTCAGCTCCTGCCTCATACAAATCAATGAGTATGTTATTTTATTCAAATCTCTTTGTCAAACTCCATAATTGAGTGCATTTTCCATTTTCCCCATATTTCCCACTTATAAAAAATATTTGAAATGCCCAGAATATCTCAAATGGCATAAAACAAGATGAAATGATTTAAAACCCATGGAGGAAATGTAGACTTTTTCTGATAAAATCCATTGGTCCCCCATGAGCAAGGTTGGCATAATCGAAGAGATTTGGGATTATCAAAACAAATATTCTACCGTCACCAATCTAATCGAACCTAGTATTCAGCCAAATGACTTGAACCAATAGGATCAATAGCATATGATCAAAAGATAAAAGCTTGATTAATAGATTGCTTCTCAAGCTTTCCAACTGTCTTGGGTATGATCACAACAACTACTCTTTGTTAAAAATACAGTATATCCCCAACCCATTCCCTAATGAAGTCCAAGGCTCCATTGCCAACTAGAGCATCTTGCTTTACCCAATAAATTAAATTGGCAAGCTATCACAAATCACATCAAACCAGTTCCTAAAAGAGTCCGTTGAAGGTCAAGCCCTAGCAAGTCATTTGGCTCTATCATACCTCCACTAAACCCATTTACATCTACCCCTACTGGAGTCCTATCATTGGCTAATAAACTACCTTTTACCACAATGAATTTTGTAGTGGATCTGCATGCATCATTGTCAAATAAAACCTTTCTTCCCTTCTCAATGATGAGTGCAATAAAAGATATATCATAACTACAGGACAGCAAATTACAATGTCTCCATCTTAATCTACCGAATTAATATAGCCTATCTTACCTTCCCCATAATGGCACGGTCAATGTCAAATCATAAATGTAATCCTTAAATCTACAGTCCTCGCTATTATCCTCAATCAATTAAATACAACCTACCAACTGATGCTGGCCATAATGATTATCAACATTGTCATCGTCACTAAATCTGGTACACCATGTACCTAGGATCTTCTTTACACACTTTTCTTTCATGCTATTGAGTAACATGTATTTACAATTTCCTTTTGGTTGATGCATTGGGTTTTCACTTTTTCTTTTACTGCCTATGCGCTACAATCACTGTCCTGTTAACATTTTTCCCATGCTTGCTGATATGTTGGTACACAATTTTTAAAGGTGAATCAATCCTTCTCTTAAATTTATTCAGTAATTCCAAGATATTATAGGGTCTACTTTGAAAACTTTTAAACCAAAAGTAGAAGATGAAGTAAAGGGTAACCCTAGCAATACCTCTTAAAAACATTAATAACTTTTGTTTTCAGACTAAACACCTAAAACTGCACTTAGATTTAACTGTACATGAAGATTAGCGTGAGAGTCAAACATGATATTTCTAGACAAATATAAATATCTATAGAATCAGTCAAGCTCAATTTTTTTACATATAAGCTGGGTCCTAAACGCATCATCATCGTTGACTGGAGTATCAGCATTAAAACTGGTATTCTGGTATCCAATTGTCATTGATAACGCTCAGGACAAAGGAAAACTTATGTCCATAGTCCTGTCAGCTATAACAATGACAACTTTAGGAGTGATTATTTTAGTTGAAAAGGCAAATATGGTTGAAGGTGTCCCCTTTTTCTATATACACCATGAAATTACCAATGTATACTGAGTTCCACACTCAACATTTGATGACCATTTCAGGAACTCACTACTATTTTACTTTCTAAGAGTAAGATGAGAAAAAATTTTATGGTATTTTTTTAAAATTGATCTTGGTTGACTTGAAACACGAGGTTTACTCAATCTGCTTGCATTTCAGTTCACTTTTCATGAGCCTAATCTAAGGTGACGATAGTTATGATCTTTTCACGCTTCTTAAAAGAAAAGTCATGCCATAAATTAGTAACACCATCAACAGAAAGAATTACACCTCATCTAAATATTATTATGTAGAACATTGTCATCAATAAGAGAACGTACCACCAAGTTTTGTTTTGACTTCTTCGCTTCAAGCAGAGGGGAGCATAGCACATCCGGATTGCCATACTGGAACTGAGAAGTTCACAAACAAACTAGAATTTAGTCGGAAGAGGGATTGCAGAGATTTGATATAAGAAAAGAGACACATACTGCTATAGCTGCAGCATCAGCCAACAAGTATAAGAAGTCAACATCATCCTTAACCTACAAGCATGTGAAGCATAATTTAATAAGCAAAAAAACACACTGACGCATAAATTATAGAGAAATGAATAAAATTAGAATTGCAAGGAAATATGCATTGATGTATAATATTTCAAAATGAAGATTTCACTAAAACTAAACCCTACATGGAGCCCAAATAATTATAGCCCAGAAGATAAACCAACAAGCTAACAAAATAGGAAAACTTCAAAACCAGATGATCTTAATTTTAACAAGGAGATCCATTTAAAATGCTCTTGGCAAAGAAAGTATGTAACACAACCCCTTCTTTCTTAGGATGGAATTCATTTATAGGCATATTGCTTTTGAAAATGCAAAAATGACTTCACAGGACTTCAAATAGGTGACGACTGTATAATCAAATGCCCTTTTCAGGTTGAACAATTTGATTCATATTAGGCGTCATATCTGCCAGTAATATAAAAACTAACACTTAACTCCACCAAACATTTTATTAGTACAAACTTAAGCACTTATCCCTACACATGCAAATGCATCTAATACCCAGTGCTCATAAAAAATACGAAAAAACAATCTAGAGCAACAATGAAAAGCACAAAGCTCTCGCTAGGTTTGTTCAACAAAATAAAGTCTCAGTTTTCAGCCAAGCCGAACCTATTATCAGGTCCATAAAAAATCATGACAAAAATAAGTAATATGAAAAAGAAAAAAGACCTATAATGTTTTGATTATTAGAAAGTATCCCACAAACAACAATACAGAAAGTAGCAAACTTGAGGTAAAATGAAGATATTCATAATGAATGCCACCATTATAGCAACTCTTTGAAGTTTATTCCAAATGAAGTTAGCTCTTTACAACAGAGAGAAAGAAGATGATCGTGTTAACAATGTTGAAGGCAAAGCAATTCACTATATATTGCAGTCACATCAAAGGTTTCAATTTTAATATATATAGAATTTATTCATTATGATAAAATACCGAAGAAGCACCAAACAAATCCTTTACTGCTACTCCATCCAATGGAAGTTGTTCGTCGACAAGCTTGGTTATTTCTTGAAGAACAGATTTACATTCAGGACCAGCTGAATCACCAACCTTATAAGAAGATGAAAAAATAGAGCACATTATCCATGGAAAATATGACAAATGCAGCCCTTAAGATGTAATTACATGATAAAATGCAGAAGAGTTAGCAATATCTGGGTAAATGAGCAGTCATGCACCTGCTGGTCGAACTTGGAGAAGTTGTAGACTGCAAGAACCACGGCTGAGCTTGCAAGGCTCCCACATGTTAAATGAGGGAACTTCAAACGGAACCAGGCACTGAGAGCCCCAGGGTATGAAACACCAAAAACAATCCAGGGGCTTTCAACTTTTGAGCGGTTGTATTTTGAGTTCAATGATTCCTTTCAAATATAAAAAATAAAACAAATTTGCAGAAAATGATTTAGAAAATAATAGCATGATCGATGCAAGTTTAAGGGACTGCCAAAAACTCCACATTGATAACAAAATTGTACTACACATAGACTAATAGTTGAAGGCATTTTCTTTTTCTTGTGCAGTGTATGAATGCCTACCAGAGCCATAAAAAATGCTTTATTTCATTATTATTCTATATTAAATGTATGCATGATGGTGTTCGCTCTGTGGATGGATTCATGCATGCTTTCAAAATAAGAAATCAAAACATTTTGCATCATTGTTTGCTATCGACATAAAACTATCAAATTGATTTCTTGCACATGACCTCGCACCTTTTTAGCAAAATTAAATTAATGTATTTCAACAATTTGCATTCCTAGACGCTAAAAAAATATTTAACTCTTACAAAATCCAGGGAACACAACCTACAAATCCAATAATAAATCTTTTAGAAAAAATGAAGCTGCAGCAAGAGTCATAAGGACCTGATAATACTGGCGAAAAACAGCCAAGTCAAACAATGCTTGCTTTGAGGACAGATATCTTAAATTTTCTGTTATTGTAAGCTTGAAAGGGGAGCTCATCCCATAATAACGATGTTCAAGAGAAACTAAAGCAGCACCAAATTTTTCTGCTAACACCTGCAAAATAAAGGACAAGTGAATAACGCAATATGCTAAAAAATGTCTAATTAGGTTATCATAGGGATACACCATGAACACCCTTGGAGCGGAAAATTTTGTTAGAGAATTGGCTAAATAAGGAACCAAACTTCGGTCAAATACACCAGTAGTTAAACTCATTTTCAACCCAAATCTTAAGCTTGTCGATAAGATCAAAGACTTTATATTTCTGCCCAACATTTCTTTAATTACCCAATGTGAAACTAGATGCAAATCTTTGAGGTTCCTAACAATCTGTAGCTTACATGAGAGCTTTCCATATCAACCATCACTCCCCCTCAAACAGAAGATTTTCAACATCATTGAATATAATGCACCAAAAGTCCTTCAATCACCCACTCTTGAATCCTAACCATCTTAGAAGCTGACTGAGACCTATGGGAACCATAAACTGTATGAACAACTCAATCTCAGACAATTTATAAACTATGATACTATGATACCACTTACTAGGGAGCGAACTAAATAGAAAATCAAAGTTAGGCCAAATACACTAGTGGACAAATTCGTTTTCAACCCAAAGTTTAAGTTTATGAGTGAGGGGGACCCACTCGACATTTCTAAATTAACATATTTTCAATTATCCAACGCTGGAATAAACACAACGCCTTGCGTTCCTTAAGAAAATGTTCATCACAATAGTATTCTTGCAACGTTTTCATCTCCAGCACTCATTTTTAGCAATTTATGCTAGCAGTGAAAGAAGAACAAAACCTAAACTCAACCATTATTATTGTTAAAGGTCATGAAAATTAATCATATTATAACTTGTAAAACATAAGTTCGCTTAGTACATTTTGCTTGTCATAACAAATAAATGAACTTTGTTTATTAAACTGCAAAATTACAAGTCGTATTACCAGAAGGATAGACTTCCAAGTTCCTCTGGTAAGATAGTTTTAGAACCAAAGTCATTACTTTAATTTTGTAAGAAATAACAAATCATACAAAGCCATATTACAACTATTCAGGGTACATGAATCTCTTTCTGCCACTGATTCCCATTAACAGCTCAAAAAGATAGATTAGCATAACATATTTAAAGGGAAAAAAATCACCATCTTTCGGGCATATTAGTGGAAAAGCATTACTCAAAATCATAGTTAGAGAGCTTACAGAGGTATAGTCGTTTACAATTCCAGGACAAGTAGATTCACCACAAATTTTCAAAAATATAGGCCCATTTGAGACATCATAATAATCTAGGAACTCATAATACCTCTGCTTGAATTGGCGATGATCCTGCAAAATGCAAAAAAAGTCATTTAAATTGATTATAAATCAACAGATAAACAGTCATATGCAGTAGAAAAGGAGGTCATGATTTTCCAGACAGTTCAATTGAAAAGAGATGACATATATAAACAAACATGGGCTTAAGGTCATAAGCTACTAAACATTATTTTTATCAATCTATCACAATTTAACATACCAAATAACAAACGAGTTCCACCGAAATTTAAATCCACAGTCTGAAAGAGTAGATCTGCCTTCAATAAAGAACTGACCATGCTAATTGGATTGTTGCTGGAGACTGTGGGGCCCACAGCCTACGCATGCAGGGGCTCCTGTCCCAATCCCACCCATGATCCAACCTTGTTGTGCTGAATAACCTTGGCAGGAATCTTTGAGAACACGGATTAAGAGTTAGATCGATCTCATCATGGCCCTAGAATTGCAATGCATGTGCTACCCATAGCAGCCAACTCCACCTGGGCATTTTTTCCTTTTTTTAATAAGTTCTGGTTTATTTTCATTGTAATACTCTTGGAAAAGTCTATATATACCCCCATACTTTGTACAGAAAAAAGCAATAAAAACTCTAAATAGTTTTTACATATTTTATACTTTTCTACTTTTATACATGGTATTAGCCTAAGGTTTCCTTCTTTCACCAACCTTTGTTCCATTTTTCTTTTTTTTTCCTTATTATTGGGATTTTTTCATCTCTTCGTTATATACGGCTCCTTTAACTTCCCTTCCAAGGAGCTGATCATCATTAATAGTGATACAGAGTAAAGATAAACTTCAGAGGCTACAATCCTAAAATTGCTTGAATGTGTTAACCGGTCCACTGGACCGGACCAGCCGGTCCAGGCGGAACCGGCTTAAGGGCGGAACAGGGAAATTTTCCGCCTGGGCGGAGGTCGATTCGCCAGCTTTGCGGGAGCGTTTTAGGAAGGAATTTTGAGGAATATTAGGAGGGAAATTGAATGTAGGGACTGTTTAGAGAATTCATTTTGATTTGTATGCATTAAATACTTTGTTTTCCTAGGGTTAGGGCATCTTGAATTTGGCTGAAATTTGAGATCTCTTAGATTTAGGATTTCTTTGGGCTCTAGCGGCGTCTAGAGATTTGGGAGAGATCGATCCTCCTCTCGAATTGAGGATCAATTGTATCTTGCTATTTCCTTGCATCTACTAGTAAAATACAAGTCTTTTCTCCAAATTCTTCTCAGTTTTTCCCTGTTTTTCCACGGTTTTGGCTGTTTTCCTGCTGTGGACAGCCGTTTGCATTGAGATTTGTTGTAAAAGTGAATAGGAAATACTTGAAATCAAGTATTTCCTATCAGAATGAGAGCAACTATTTGAAGCCATCCAAAATTATGAAGACATTTTTAAAAGAAAAGGGAAAGATCAATCATCTTATGGATCCTCTTCCAAAGCAAAAGGCCCCAAAGTTTGTACTTTTGGATGAAGCTAATTTCATGATTATGATATGGCTATGGATTACCATAATGCCTGAAATCAGTGAGTCATACACGATTCAATTTGTCACAAAAAAAGTTTGAGAGACCATCACATATATGCAGTTAAAAGTAAAATATCTTATCTCATCTACAAAATCAAAACTAAGATCTCAATAACCAAACAAGATAACCTTTGTGTTATTGAATACCTTAATGCAATAAAGGTTTATTAGCTTAAATTGTATTATTACCAATAACTTAAGATGACATGGTAATTTTTAAAAAGTTTATAGAAATAGAAAAGAGAGTTTCTTGAAGGACTCAATAATAACTTTGACCAAGTTCATGTCCAAATTTTAAGCAAAGAAAATCTACCATCTTCAAATGAGATATCCTCTCTTATAAGAGCTGAGGAAGGAAAAATGATGGTAATGCTCGACAATTCAGTCTCCAAAACATTGCCATAACAACCACTGAAATTCAAAGTTTAGGATTTGCTGTCATAGATTCTTCCTTAAAAATGGACAAAAGTCCTCTTCTAAAGGCAATCTATATTGTAACTAATGTAAAAGAAAAAGGAATATAAAAGAAATTATTGAAAACTTCACGAAAAACCCCAATCTCTTGTGGAGAAAAAGGTCTCCAAAAAGGGCTGGCCTGTTTTGCATAATCAAAAGGGCATAACCCAGAAAATTTTAAGAACTTAGGAACTTCCTTTAACTCTTAAGAAAAACCATTCAAATCATATTCTCTAGCTCAAAATCAAATGATTTAAAACTTTATGTTTTTAGAGACAATTGTATTTTGAGAAAGGACCATTTTGATCTTTTTCTCATTTCTCCTTTTGCATGAATCCTAAATTTAGGAGCCATTGAGCATATGGCAAGTTTTGTCAATCTCTTCCAAACATACAAACTTTGCTCTAATAGTATAAACATAAAAGTGATCAATGGTTCTTTAACAATTAGTGCAACTCAAGAAAAATTTTCTATTTTCTTCATAGTTACCCTCAATAATGTACATGTTTCGAGCATCTTGTGATAAATCTTCTATCAATTCATAAAATCATTAAAAATCACAATGCAAGGTAACATTTTTTTTTTTGTTAATCATTGTGAAATTCAGGACCTCACTTGAAGATGATTAGGCAAGATATGGAACAAGATAAGCTATATCTTCTTGAAGATAGAAACCACTAGTCATATTCCTCCATTTTCACACTAAAATATAGAAGCAATTAGAGAACATCATTGTAGGCTAGAGCATCTCTCTTTTAAAACAAATAATATGTGTTTCCTTCTCTTTTTAAGAAAGTGAAATTGTCAAACATCATCATCTTATTTTTCCTTCTAGTAATTTTAGATCATCTTTTTTTTTTCCTAAATTTTCAATATGATATTAACATTGTCATTCCTGATCTCAAGCGCTAAATGAAAAAAGTATAGGGTAGTGCTAAGCAGTTGATAGCTCGCGTAAAATTTGTTAAATAATCATGACTTGAATCCTTTAATATATTGTTTTAATGTTACGACATTCCCTTGAAGCAACGTATTGTATAATCTTAATAAAGTGAAAAGTGTGCAAGGGATGCTGCACCTGCGCCCGGGTGCAGTGTTAAATAAGCAAGGGTTTCCACATCATAGCTAGATGCGAACATAGAAGCCTGTTTATGAAACTATAATTAAAATAGAAACATAAAACATAGGTTCTCTTATAAACAAATTAAAGGGATTAATAAATATTATGATTTATAGAAAGATAAAAATTCTTTACATTCGGAAAACTAAATGTGTTGTAGAGAAAACTAAGGGGAATGATAGTTATGATTTAAACTATGGTATTCAAGTATGAGTCATACAAGGAATTGTGTCGTTTTGTTAAAGCATTGTTTAAAATTGCGCAATATAAAGCTTTCGTTGGGCCCACCTTAGCGCAATTTCAATGAAAAACCCCTCAAGGATTACACCTCGAGCTTTTTTATAAGGCTTACGCGCTCATCTTAGCAGAGGCCATCCTTTAGGCGCACCTTGCCTTGCTAGAATGAGGCATACGCCTCACTCTAAAACTTAACTAAATCATATACAAAAGCCCCAAAAAAAATCATGCCTTCTTACACTCCCAAGCTACAACAAATTCCTCTTAACTATTAAAAATAAGAGTTTAAATGATAATGCTGTAGAAATTAATAGAATTGGAAATATAATTATAACTTTAAAGATTGTTGTCGAAATAAAGATTATTAACATTATAAATTCTCATGTCTAGCATAACCTAGAGAGGGTTCCCTTTTCAGGCACTCTGGTGGGAGAAGGAATGGTCTCCTCCAAAATTGCAATCACCTTACCACATGTAATTAAGTCGTAAAAGCATCAAGCATAACAAAGAGATTCAAACAAATAAAAATAATTGTAAGCAAAGACGGTACATTCACTTAGATTGATGTGCACAGAGCTTCGTCGAGGCCTTTTACAATGAGACCCTAACGAGCTCTCGTGGCGTTCACATCTCATGGCATCACGCTCTATGAAAGGTGGAAAAAGATAATCTTACCCAAGTCAGTTAAGTATAACAGACTCTTGTATGACTATTTAGTGGTGTCATACGAAATTTAGACCTAAAATAGAGCCTATGTAGGTAACCTCAAATCATAGCATCAACATATATGCATATTTCTAGAGGCATTGAACTCATCTGGATGACATCTACCATACGAGAGAGAAAAGGCAAGCCTTCACACATAATTGCTTGTGAAAACCTAAATCATCGAGCAACTCTATTTAGCTAATATCCTTCCAAGACTACTGATCGGCTAAAGCAATAGTACAATCACACGAATCTCATGTTAATAAAATACTTACTAATCTGCAAATTTGACCTGCAAAAAATAGAGCATACCTACTATAATGATTAATATCATCAACTATATCTATTTTCATCAAAGTTGCTAGATAAACTGCCTATCTCTGGTTGATGCACTAAGAAAAATCAATCAATGAGAGATTTGGGATAAAGAAGAAAAGTCTCACACACTCTTGATCCAAGGTGGAAGATGCTTCTAAAAGTTGCATGACAATGGGGTATCCCTTATTCAAAAAGTGTAGCGGATATTACAAGCAATTGAATGTTCCTGAAATGTGGATATGAATGTAGGCATAAATTTTTAATAGTAAGAAATAACTAAATTCAGCACATTGAATGAAGTAGTCTATGGGATTATCCTTAAAATCCTGTATATTCTAATGGGAATTACAGGAACCAAGGAGAGCCACTCAAAACGAGAAAGCTAGTTGGCTACCAGTAGATTGGTTCAGTAGATCACTGAACCATATAGAACACCCCCCCCCCCAATTGTCCCCCCCCCCCCCAATTGTAGGAAGAGGAAAGATGTGATCTGAGTAACCAAAAAGCCCATCAGTAATAAATTTTCACCCATACTTGGGATGGAGGGAGACATATACTCAACCTCTACAAATGGCTTGGCAAACTCCACCAATAGACCATCATGCTCCATGCCAAACTCTAAAAGGTTGTATAACAGAATGGTGGGCTAAA